TGCCGCACGCCCAGGCGCCTGGCCGGGACCGCCGGCGCCAGAGAAGTTTAGGCAAGTCCCAGCGCGGGCATCCGGAGAGGGCTAGGGCTCCCAGGGCGGGCGCGGGACGCGGGTCCTCTCGCGCGGCGGCAGGGAGGCAGAGACCCCGGGGGCTCACGGCCGGTGGCCGCTCGCTCCCGCCCGGCCCGCCTCCGAGCAGATGCCCGCGCGAAGTTGGGCGGCGCGGTGCTCACCCACGCCGTATTTCTCCTCTCTCTTGGTGGGCACCCAGCGCGTCATGGTGCCGCGCGGGTCCCGGCACCCCAGGGGCGCTCGCTGCCGAGAGCCGCCGCCGCTGGCCGGGCAGGAAACTCCGCGCCTAGGCCGCCATTTTCCATTCCTTTCGAGCTGCGGCAGGATGGGGAGGAAAAAGTTTGTGGCGGAGGCGGTGTCATGTGGGACGGGGCGGGCGGAGCGTCGCCGGCCGGATAGGAAAGGCCGGGAGCGCCGGCAAGAGGCGGGACGGCCGCGGGCTGCGCGCCGCCCTCGCGCTCGGACCCGCGCCTTCGCGCCCCGCTTGCGCCCCCAGCCCGGGGACCCCGGGCCGCCTCCCTGCCTGGGCCGCCTCTGCTGAATCCCAGCGGGGTTCCCCGCGCCCCATACCGATCCCCGCGACTCCTCCTGACCAGGGACCCAGCTTTATTCCTGTGGTCCCCACGTCCACAGCCCAGTGACACCTCCAATGGAGCAGCCCCGCACCCCACGGGGCGTCTTCTTTTCATTATCGGCTGGATTTGTTTGAATCAGCCAGCCTCCTGGAACTCTTACAAGGAGGAGAAGGGAACTTCCTGAGGGGCAGAGTGGAGGTGGGCTCCGAGCAGTATGCACAGCAGGGGGTTAGGCCTGAACTTGATGACGCAATGCCCCCAACAGAGATTCCACGTCTTGGTGGAAAGTCCCCAAGCCCAGCAAAAGGGGTTGGCGCCCTGGGAGGCACCTTCCAGAGCACGTGGCTCATTCATTCATTGTTGTTGTTAGGTGCTCTCCATTTGGTTCCCACACGTAGCGACCCTGTACAACATAAGGAAACCCTGCCCAGCCCTGCCCATCTTCACAATCATTGCTATGTTTGAGCCCATTGTTGCAGCCACTGTGTCAATCCATCTCCTTGAAGGTCTTCCGCATTTTTGCTGACCCTCTATTTTACCAAGCATGATGTCCTTCTCCAGGGACTGTTGTGGCTGGTCCCTCCTAATAACATGTCCAAAGTACATGAGACAAGTCTTGCCATCCTCCCTTCTAAGGAGCTGTACTTCTTCTAAGATTTGTTTGTTCTTCTGGCAGTCACGGTATATTCAATATTCTTCGCCAATACCATAATTCAAAGGCATCAATTCTCCTTTGGTCTTCCTCATTCATTGTCCAGGTTTCACATGCATACTGGGTAATTGAAAAGACCATGGTTTGGGTCAGGCGTACCTTAGTCCTCAGAGTGACATCTTTGCTTTTTAACACTTTAAAGAGGTCTTTTGTAGTAGATTGGCCCAATGCAATACATCTTTTGATTTCCTGACTGCTGCTTTCATGGGTGTTGATTGTAGATCCAAGTAAAATGAAATCCTTGACAACTTCAATCTTTTCTCTGTTTATTATGATGTTGCTTGTTGGTCCAGTTGTGAAGACTTTTGTTTTCTTTATGTTGAGATATAATCCATACTGAAGGCTGTAGTCTTTGATCTTCATCAGTAAGTGCTTCAAGTCCTCTTCACTTTCAGCAAGCAAGGTTGTGTCATCTGCATATTGCAGGTTGTTAATGAGTTTTCCTCTAATCCTGATGCCCCATTCTTCTTCATATAGTCCAGCTTCTCAGATTTTTTGCTTAGTATACAGATTGAATAAGTATAGCAAAAGGATGCAACCTTGAAGTACACTTTTCCTGATTTTAAACCACGCAGTATCCCCTTGTCTATTCAAACAACTGCCTCTTGGTCTATGTACAAGTTCCTCATGAGCACAATTAAGTATTCTGGAATTACCATTCTTGGTAATGTTATCCACAATGTATTATGATCCACACAATTGAATGCCTTTGCAGAGTAAATAAAACACAGGTAAACATCTTTCTGGTATTCTCTGTTTTCAGCCAGGATCCATCTGACATCAGCAATGATATTCCTGGTTCCATGTCTTCTTCTGAATCAGGCCTGAATTTCTGGCTGTTCTCTGTTGGTGTACTGCTGCAATCATTCTTTAATTATCTTCCGCAAAATTTTACATGTGTGTGATATTAATGATATTGTTTGATAATGTCCTCATTCTATTGGATTCTATTGGATCACCTTTCTTTGGAATAGGCATAAATATGGATCTCTTCCAGTCAATTGGCCAGGTAGCTGTCTTCCAACTTTCTTGGCATAGATGAGTGAGCACTTCCAGTGCTGCATCCATTTGTTGGAACATCTCAATTGGTATTCCAGCAATACCAGTTGAGAGCCTTGTTTTTCACCAATGCCTTCTGTGAAGGTTGGACTACTTCCTTCTTGATCATATGCTACCTCCTGAAATGGTTGAATGTCCACCATTTCTTTTTGGTACAGTGACTCTGTATTCCTTCCATCGTCTTTTGATGCTTCCTGTGTTGTTCAATATTTTGCCCATAGAATCCTTCACTATTGAATTTTTTCTTCAGTTCTTTCAGCATGAGAAATGCTGAGCATGTTCTTCCCTTTTGGTCTTCTAACTCCGGGTCTTTGCACATTTTGTCTTCTGGAGCCACCCTTGGAAATCTTTTATTCAGAATCAACTCCACGGCAGTGGTTTTTTTTTTCAATTCAGTTCTTTTACTTCATCATTTCTTCCACTTGCTTTAGCCACTCTAAATTCAAGAGCAAGTTTCAGACTCTCTTCTGACATCCGTTTTGGTCTTTTCTTGCTTTCCTCTCTTTTTAATGACCTTTTACTTTCTTCATGTATGATGTCCTTGATGTCATCCCACAACTCATCTGGTCTTCGGTCATTAGGGTTCAATGCATCAAATCTATTCTTGAGATGGTCTCTAAATTCATGTAGGATATACTCTAAGTCGTACTTTGGCTCTAGTGGCCTTGTTTTAATTTTCTCTAGCTTCAACTTGAACTTGCACAAGACAATTGATGGTCTGTTCTGCAGCCGGCCTCTGGCCTTGTTCTGACCGATGATATTGAGCTTCTCCATTGTCTCTTTCCACAGATGTACTCGATTTGATTCCTTTGTATTCTCTCTGGGGAGATCCACATGTTGTATTTGTTGTTGGAAAAAGATATTTCCAATGAGTAGGTCTTTGGTCTTGCAAAATTCCATCATGAAATCTCTGGTGTCTTTCTATGACAAACATTGAGTGCTTGAGTGCTAGGAGCAGAAGACAAGCAAGGAGTGAACTCACCTCTAAGGCCAGCATGTATGATGGGGGGAGGGGAGACGGTGAGTAAAGTAACAAAGACTAGATAAGTAAACACCAAACACTGTCTTGGTCCACCCTCAAGGTTGACTCTTAGTGGTTTGGCAAAGATACCCAAAGCTGGTAGGAGTGGGGAAGATGCTGGGGTGCAAACCAGGGAGTGCTTTCCAGAGGAGGTGACCTCTCACTTGGTTGTTGAATGAGTACAATTATCTGGGGGAGACCTGGAGGAAGAGCTGTGCAGAGCCCTACTATGCCAGAGACCTCAGCACCCCCCCAGGCTTGCTGGAACTTCTGCTCCTTCAGTAGGACTCCAGGTTGGCTCAAGTTGGGCAAGAGAGGAAGTGGGGAGAGGTGCTGGGGTGAAGGGGACCGCCGGCGTGCCTCCAGCAGGAACACCATGGCCTCGCAGGAACCTCACCTTACCCTGGGCCTGAGCTGCCCCAGACTCCTGTGTTTACCACACCAGTAAGAGCCAGGACACTTCAAATTTCCCCAAGGAAAAACGTAAGAAAATACACACACTTATTTGTTTTTACCATAAATTTAGAAAATAATAGGTTAAAACCAAGAACAGGAGAGGGACATAGCCTCAGAGTGCAGGCAACCCTTTAAATGGAGAACATTTGGCTGCGTGGAATAGTCACTGGCTGTTCCCAGTCTCAGGAGCCCTGGTGGCGCAGTGGTTAAGTGCTTGGCAGTTTGAACCCACCAGTCACACCACAGGAGAAAGATGTGGCAGTCTGCTTCTGTCAAGATTACAGCCTTGGAAACCCAGTGGGGCAGTTCTATCCTGTCCTGTAGGGTTGCTATGAGTCAGAATGGACTCCACGGCAGTGGGTTTGGTTTTTGGGTTTTGGGTCCCCTCTCTCATTCCCCCAAGAACCTGTGACAACTTCAGTAGGTTGGGAGCCTCCAAGGATGGGAAGAAGGAAATACAAAGGATGGAGAGCCCTACGGGGGAGGGAAGGGCCCGTGCAGAGATGGTTGGTGACCCGGTGGCCCACCGTCCTGCTGTGTACAATGCCTGATACCCAGCCTCGAGGTCACCTAGAGTCAGGGAAAGCTCAGCATTCCACCCAGAATGCAGATTAAATAAACACACTGGAATGACTGAGGCGCTTTTCAGTGTTCACAGATGAGGGGAACTGGGCTAGGTACAAGAGGATCATGTACGCAGGACTTGGGAGTTTGTGGTGAAGGAACCGCAGCTTCATAATTTCAGGCCTTGCTTTACTGATGAGGAACTTCCATCCAACAGAGAGAAGGGCTGTGGGCTCACACCACACATGGTCTCATGCACCCACTTGAAGCCTTCTGTGGAAACCAGAAACCTCAGGGGCTCATGTCCTGAACCCATGGCCCAGTGACTGTGAGCCCTTGAAGCAGAAGCAACTGTGAAGGTGCTACCCAGGAGAAGTAGGGTGCTCGGGGACAAGTTACATGCTGGTCTGACCTAGAGGAGGAAGTGTTCCTGAGGAGACAATCCAAGCACAGACTCTAGCGATAAAGAGGAACTAAGTAGATGAACAGGAACCCTGGTGGGTCAGTGGTTAAGCACTCGGCTGCTAACCTAAAGGTTGGTGGTTTAAAACCCTAAGCCTCTCTGAGGGAGAAAGGTGTGGCAGTCTGCCTCCATAAAGATTTACAGCCTCAGAAACCCTATGGGGCAGTTCTACTTTGTCCTATAGGGTTACTATGAGTCCAACTTGATGGCAATGGGTTTGGTTTTATTTTTTTAACTAGGTGAACTGATGTGGCAACAAACAACATGTGCAAAGGCCCTGAGGTCCTAAGAAGGAATGTTAATCTTTCAATGAACTGAAAGGCCAGTATGTCTGAAGCAATGTTGCTGTTTTTATTGTTACTGGATTCTGACTCTTGGCAACTCCATGTGTGCAGAGTAGAACTGCTCCATAGGGTTTTCAAGGCTGTCACCTTTCAGAAACAGATTATCAAGACTGTCTTCC